GCATGCTTTTTAATCGATTGCCACTTTTTCTGCCTTCAAGTTGGCCAGTACGTTTTAAAGTCATTACTAATTGTCGTTACGAGTGCAGTCCTGGAATGAGTTTGAAATTTCGAGTGATTTCCTTCGCTATATCCGTCTTCATTTATTCATTTTATGATTCATTGTTTCCTCTTTTAACATATGTGCTCGATCTTTATTCGTTGTTTTTCTTGCAACACCACAATTCTTTCTAGTTTCTTCATTTTCTGCTCATCCTTATAATGCTCTGGATTCGATGTTGTATAGTATCAATAAATTAACACTAAATGATGATCATGTTCCTCTGGCATGCCTTTAAAGCTCAGTGCTAGAGCGTTGTTCTTGTAAACCAGAGGTCCTTTAGTTAAATCCTGCCTGGACGCGTATGTTTTCACATTGTAGTAATCTGGATTTGGTTATCAAACTGTTTATAAACTCAGAAACATGAAGTGTTGCTTGTTTTTTTCTGCCATGCCTTTATAGCTCAGTGGTAGAGCGTTGGTCTTGTAAACCAAAGGTCGGTAGTTCAATCCTGCCTGGAGGCAAATGTTTTCACATCGTACAATTTCGGATTTTGTCATTTGTGTGTTTTCAAAAGCAGAGAACACTAAATGATGATCATGTTCCTCTGGCCTGCCTTTATAGCTCAGTGGTAGAGCGTTGGTCTTGTAAACCAAAGGTCGGTAGTTCAATCCTGCCTGGAGGCAAATGTTTTCACATCGTACAATTTCGGATTTTGTCATTTGTGTGTTTTCAAAAGCAGAGAACACTAAATGATGATCATGTTCCTCTGGCCTGCCTTTATAGCTCAGTGGTAGAGCGTTGGTCTTGTAAACCAAAGGTCGGTAGTTCAATCCTGCCTGGAGGCAAATGTTTTCACATCGTACAATTTCGGATTTTGTCATTTGTGTGTTTTCAAAAGCAGAGAACACTAAATGATGATCATGTTCCTCTGGCCTGCCTTTATAGCTCAGTGGTAGAGCGTTGGTCTTGTAAACCAAAGGTCGGTAGTTCAATCCTGCCTGGAGGCAAATGTTTTCACATCGTACAATTTCGGATTTTGTCATTTGTGTGTTTTCAAAAGCAGAGAACACTAAATGATGATCATGTTCCTCTGGCCTGCCTTTATAGCTCAGTGGTAGAGCGTTGGTCTTGTAAACCAAAGGTCGGTAGTTCAATCCTGCCTGGAGGCAAATGTTTTCACATCGTACAATTTCGGATTTTGTCATTTGTGTGTTTTCAAAAGCAGAGAACACTAAATGATGATCATGTTCCTCTGGCCTGCCTTTATAGCTCAGTGGTAGAGCGTTGGTCTTGTAAACCAAAGGTCGGTAGTTCAATCCTGCCTGGAGGCAAATGTTTTCACATCGTACAATTTCGGATTTTGTCATTTGTGTGTTTTCAAAAGCAGAGAACACTAAATGATGATCATGTTCCTCTGGCCTGCCTTTATAGCTCAGTGGTAGAGCGTTGGTCTTGTAAACCAAAGGTCGGTAGTTCAATCCTGCCTGGAGGCAAATGTTTTCACATCGTACAATTTCGGATTTTGTCATTTGTGTGTTTTCAAAAGCAGAGAACACTAAATGATGATCATGTTCCTCTGGCCTGCCTTTATAGCTCAGTGGTAGAGCGTTGGTCTTGTAAACCAAAGGTCGGTAGTTCAATCCTGCCTGGAGGCAAATGTTTTCACATCGTACAATTTCGGATTTTGTCATTTGTGTGTTTTCAAAAGCAGAGAACACTAAATGATGATCATGTTCCTCTGGCCTGCCTTTATAGCTCAGTGGTAGAGCGTTGGTCTTGTAAACCAAAGGTCGGTAGTTCAATCCTGCCTGGAGGCAAATGTTTTCACATCGTACAATTTCGGATTTTGTCATTTGTGTGTTTTCAAAAGCAGAGAACACTAAATGATGATCATGTTCCTCTGGCCTGCCTTTATAGCTCAGTGGTAGAGCGTTGGTCTTGTAAACCAAAGGTCGGTAGTTCAATCCTGCCTGGAGGCAAATGTTTTCACATCGTACAATTTCGGATTTTGTCATTTGTGTGTTTTCAAAAGCAGAGAACACTAAATGATGATCATGTTCCTCTGGCCTGCCTTTATAGCTCAGTGGTAGAGCGTTGGTCTTGTAAACCAAAGGTCGGTAGTTCAATCCTGCCTGGAGGCAAATGTTTTCACATCGTACAATTTCGGATTTTGTCATTTGTGTGTTTTCAAAAGCAGAGAACACTAAATGATGATCATGTTCCTCTGGCCTGCCTTTATAGCTCAGTGGTAGAGCGTTGGTCTTGTAAACCAAAGGTCGGTAGTTCAATCCTGCCTGGAGGCAAATGTTTTCACATCGTACAATTTCGGATTTTGTCATTTGTGTGTTTTCAAAAGCAGAGAACACTAAATGATGATCATGTTCCTCTGGCCTGCCTTTATAGCTCAGTGGTAGAGCGTTGGTCTTGTAAACCAAAGGTCGGTAGTTCAATCCTGCCTGGAGGCAAATGTTTTCACATCGTACAATTTCGGATTTTGTCATTTGTGTGTTTTCAAAAGCAGAGAACACTAAATGATGATCATGTTCCTCTGGCCTGCCTTTATAGCTCAGTGGTAGAGCGTTGGTCTTGTAAACCAAAGGTCGGTAGTTCAATCCTGCCTGGAGGCAAATGTTTTCACATCGTACAATTTCGGATTTTGTCATTTGTGTGTTTTCAAAAGCAGAGAACACTAAATGATGATCATGTTCCTCTGGCCTGCCTTTATAGCTCAGTGGTAGAGCGTTGGTCTTGTAAACCAAAGGTCGGTAGTTCAATCCTGCCTGGAGGCAAATGTTTTCACATCGTACAATTTCGGATTTTGTCATTTGTGTGTTTTCAAAAGCAGAGAACACTAAATGATGATCATGTTCCTCTGGCCTGCCTTTATAGCTCAGTGGTAGAGCGTTGGTCTTGTAAACCAAAGGTCGGTAGTTCAATCCTGCCTGGAGGCAAATGTTTTCACATCGTACAATTTCGGATTTTGTCATTTGTGTGTTTTCAAAAGCAGAGAACACTAAATGATGATCATGTTCCTCTGGCCTGCCTTTATAGCTCAGTGGTAGAGCGTTGGTCTTGTAAACCAAAGGTCGGTAGTTCAATCCTGCCTGGAGGCAAATGTTTTCACATCGTACAATTTCGGATTTTGTCATTTGTGTGTTTTCAAAAGCAGAGAACACTAAATGATGATCATGTTCCTCTGGCATGCCCTTATAGCTCAAGAGGTAGAGCGTTGGTCTTGTGAACCAGAGATTCGTTTGTAAAATCCTGCCTGGAGGCGAATATTTTTACATCGTACGGAGCTAGATTTGGTTGTCATTCTGTTTATGAACTCAGAAACATGACGCGTTGCTTGTTTCTTACTGCCATGCCTTTATAGCTCAGTAGTAGAGCGTTGGTCTTGTAAACCAAAGGTCGGTAGTTCAATCCTGCCTGAAGGCAAATGTTTTCACGTTCTATAGATCGTATTTTTGTGATGAGACTGTTTACAAAATCAGAAAACACTAAATGATGATCATGTTCCTCTGGC